TTATACAAGTACCTCTCTGGTCATGGCAGAGTCTTTACTAAGTTTTACTCTTCATATAACAATGTAATTATTCTAATTGGCTAAGGATTTGGTTTCATATTGTGGCATGCATCACTAGGTCATGTGATAGTGGTGGTCATCACCACAGTGAGAGAGAAACGCTGGTATCAGTATTACAGAGAAAATTAGAATAATTGTGTTGTAACATTTTAACCAACATCAGCCCCTCCAAAACATTTGTTTTTCATAGTTGGTTTCATTGATTAAACGGCTCCTTGCTGTCTGTTCCCTCATTGAGATTGTTGTTCGACTGATTGTCTCTGTAGCATTAGTAATAGATACCTGGTGTTGAGTCAGTGAAGGTCATCCTGTACATGACTGACCTTGAACCTCATCACTGATAATTGGTAAAATGTATCATTATACCATGAAATCAAAAACAGATGAAGTCATTTCGTTTGTTAACCGATCCATGTTTCTGAATGCTGCACAAAAATTTTTTGTTCTTTTTGAAATGATATCAAATGATCAATGAACATGTGGAAACATAATAGTATAGAATATGTACATAGGAACATAATAGTATAGAATATGTACATGGAAACATAATAGTATAGAATATGTACATGGAAACATAATAGTATAGAATATGTACATGGAAACATAATAGTATAGAATATGTACATGGAAACATGAATATGTACATAGGAACATAATAGTATAGAATATGTACATGGAAACATAACAGTATAGAATATGTACATAGGAAGTATAGAATATGTACATAGGAACATAATAGTATAGAATATGTACATGGAAACATAACAGTATAGAATATGTACATAGGAACATAATAGGAAGTATAGAATATGTACATAGAAACATAACAGTATAGAATATGTACATAGGAACATAATAGTATAGAATATGTACATAGAAACATAACAGTATAGAATATGTACATAGGAACATAATAGTATAGAATATGTACATGGAAACATAACAGTATAGAATATGTACATGGAAACATAATAGTATAGAATATGTACATGGGAACATAATAGTATAGAATATGTACATGGGAACATATAGTATAGAATATGTACATAGGAACATAATAGTATAGAATATGTACATGGGAACATAATAGTATAGAATATGTACATGGAAACATAATAGAATATGTACATGGAAACATAATAGTATAGAATATGTACATGGAAACATAATGGTATAGAATATGTACATGGAAACATAATAGTATAGAATATGTACATGGAAACATAATAGTATAGAATATATACATAGAAAATAGTGTATAGAATATGTTCATAGGATAAGGAGAATATGGAATATGGATAAGAAAACAAGAATATGAAATAAGGACAAGGAAACAAGAATATGGAATATGGATAAGAAAACAAGAATATGAAATAAGGACAAGGAAACAAGAATATGGAATATGTATAACAATAATGGAACCTAGAATATTTGTTTTATATAGAATCTAAAAACTTGAAAGAGATAGAATGCCTTGTTTTGATGAATTGATGTCTCTTAATTATATCATTATTCTAGGAATTTCAATTAAAATTCCATTTGAAACATCCATGGAAAAGGTGCATCAATCGCTGTCTTAGTATTAAAAATGGCAGAGTGTCACCCAGAGTGTTTAGCATGCATGATCGTTAAATATTACAACAGAGACGCATGTCTGTTGGTAGTCAAGACACCGTCCCCGGGGTAACAGAGATGTAATCCCCGTCACCATGCTGACCTCGTGGGGATAGTGTACATGTCTGCCACCTATTACGTGTGTAATTAGCCGTATTAATTAACATTATCTTTCCTGTCCATCAGGGATGCCTGCACTATCAGGGTGTGAATGTCCCTAACAGGTCTTTAACTTGAGCCCACAAATATGACAACTTGGTTCATCAGGAGAGAGACAACTACAAAATATCACCAACTGGTTAGTGTGGTGACTGTGTTAGCATTTCAAGATGTTATCATTAATTACATAGCTGTAGATGACTCATGTTAACCTGCTTGTAATACTGTATTGTAGTCAGGTCCATGTTGGAGTCATCTTGTCTCTCATTCCCAGAGAAATTTCAACATTTGAATATTTTTTAAAAATATATTTCCCATTCTATCATGAGAAAAAAAACAGAGACGAAAGAAACACGATTTAATCTGAGATATGTGTCTTTGGGGATTGTTTTAAGTTGTAAGTTTTGATGGGATTTTGAGGAGACAATATTTCAGTGACCATTGTTATCAGCATTGAGCCAGGATCTTCTACCACTGTGACTTTATCTGTCGGTTTTGTCAGTGCTCATGGAGCCCCAGGGGCTGGCTTATCTCCCCTTTGACTGAACCGTCTATGAGCAGTAGGGACTGATAGTGTTTTAAACATTAACCTTCTGTTATGAAACTGTCAACTACAAAATTGCATCCTTCAAAAATATGTACTTTGTTGTAATATATTGGAATGGTAGATTTAAAGAAACATGTTCTTTACCATTTTTCTGAACATTTTGATCATGGTTCATGGACTTAATTTGAATTTCAAACATCATTAAAAAGAATTACAGCAACTGTTATGTATATGCAAATAAATTGAAAATGAGGCTGATTGAAAATCTTAATCAGACAGATTGCTTTATTGACCCACCTGCCTAAACTTGAAATAGCATTAAACCACTACCTACAAAATTCAGTCAATATTGACCACTCTTGCAAACATGGCTGTTCCAACTTATATGTTAACCTATCAGTAAAGTATTTGTTTATATCAATCACAACATAGACCAGGTCAGTCAACCTGTCTGGTGCAGATGAGTATAGATATTAAACAAACCTGGTGGCTCCTTAATGCTAAAGGTTACTTTCTCTCTGCAGAGTAAGACATTGTGTGTTGCTGATTACATTTTGGGAATTCTTTTAAAAAAACCCAAAACAGGTTATTTTACAGAAAACTGGAAAAGGTTTATTTCTATTTTACAACCTGATGTACCATTGAGACTCAATATTGCAGTATTGAAATGAAGCTTTTGTAGAACAAGAGACAAGGGATTAGCTAGAAATATGAGGTGGACTTGCTATGATGGTGCTGAAGTGGAAGGAAACTAATTAGATTTGTCTGTTAAATTAGCTCACCTAGCCCAAAGGTCTGGTTTATGTTTGTATATTTACAGCCTGTCTGGTTTATGTTTGTATATTTACAGAATGTCCGGTTTATGTTTGTATATTTACAGCCTGTCTGGTTTATGTTTGTATATTTACAGCCTGTCTGGTTTATGTTTGTATATTTACAGAATGTCCGGTTTATGTTTGTATATTTACAGCCTGTCTGGTTTATGTTTGTATATTTACAGCCTGTCTGGTTTATGTTTGTATATTTACAACAAGTCTGGTTTATGTTTGTATATTTACAACATGTCTGGTTTATGTTTGTATATTAACAGCCTGTCTGGTTTATGTTTGTATATTTACAGCCTGTCTGGTTTATGTTTGTATATTTACAACATGTCTGGTTTATGTTTGTATATTTACAACATGTCTGGTTTATGTTTGTATTTTAACAGCCTGTCTGGTTTATGTTTGTATATTTACAGCCTGTCTGGTTTATGTTTGTATATTTACAGCCTGTCTGGTTTATGTTTGTATATTTACAACATGTCTGGTTTATGTTTGTATATTTACAACATGTCTGGTTTATGTTTGTATATTTACAGCCTGTCTGGTTTATGTTTGTATATTTACAGCCTGTCTGGTTTATGTTTGTATATTTACAACATGTCTGGTTTATGTTTGTATATTTACAACATGTCTGGTTTATGTTTGTATATTTACAACATGTCTGGTTTATGTTTGTATATTTACAACATGTCTGGTTTATGTTTGTATATTTACAACATGTCTGGTTTATGTTTGTATATTTACAGAATGTCTGGTTTATGTTTGTATATTTACAGCCTGTCTGGTTTATGTTTGTATATTTACAGCCTGTCTGGTTTATGTTTGTATATTTACAGCCTGTCTGGTTTATGTTTGTATATTTACAGCCTGTCTGGTTTATGTTTGTATATTTTCAGTCTGTCGGGTTTATGTTTGTATATTTACAGCCTGTCTGGTTTATGTTTGTATATTAACAGCCTGTCTGGTTTATGTTTGTATATTTAAAGCCTGTCGGGTTTATGTTTGTATATTTACAGCCTGTCTGGTTTATGTTTGTATATTAACAGCCTGTCTGGTTTATGTTTGTATATTTACAGCCTGTCTGGTTTATGTTTGTATATTAACAGCCTGTCTGGTTTATGTTTGTATATTTACAGCCTGTCTGGTTTATGTTTGTATATTTACAACCTGTCTGGTTTATGTTTGTATATTTACAGCCTGTCTGGTTTATGTTTGTATATTTACAGAATGTCTGGTTTATGTTTGTATATTTACAACATGTCTGGTTTATGTTTGTATATTAACAGCCTGTCTGGTATATGTTTGTATATTTACAGCCTGTCTGGTTTATGTTTGTATATTTACAGAATGTCTGGTTTATGTTTGTATATTTACAGCCTGTCTGGTTTATGTTTGTATATTTACAACATGTTTGGTTTATGTTTTTATATTTACAGCCTGTCTGGTTTATGTTTGTATATTTACAGAATGTCTGGTTTATGTTTGTATATTTACAACATGTCTGGTTTATGTTTGTATATTAACAGCCTGTCTGGTTTATGTTTGTATATTTACAACATGTTTGGTTTATGTTTGTATATTTACAGCCTGTCTGGTTTATGTTTGTATATTTACAGCCTGTCTGGTTTATGTTTGTATATTTACAGCCTGTCTGGTTTATGTTTGTATATTTACAGAATGTCTGGTTTATGTTTGTATATTTACAGAATGTCTGGTATATGTTTGTATATTTACAGTCTGTCTGGTTTATGTTTGTATATTTACAGCCTGTCTGGTTTATGTTTGTATATTTACAGCCTGTCTGAAGAACAAAATCCGGCGTATGGTGTACACAAGTACCTACAATGTTGTGTTTGGAGGACAGGAGACAAGAGATGGAGATGAAACCCTGCCTTATCTTCCCTTAGACAAGGTACATGTGTTTACTGCCTTTTAACTTCAAAGACCATATCATCAATTTATTGTAATATCATTGTCATTAATATTAGGACCAATCCTTAATTCTTGTGTCAATTTAATGCCTTATTTTAGTCCCTCCCTAGCCTGTATATATATCCTCCTTACCTCAGATTCCCTCCACCTGTGACAGTGACTAATTTCCCTGTATATATACCCACATTTCCTCCACCTGTGACAGTGACTACTTTCCCTGTATGTATACACTCCTTACCTCACATTCCCTCCACCTGTGACAGTGACTAATTTCCCTGTATGTATACCCTCCTTACCTCACATTCCCTCCACCTGTGACAGTGACTAATTTCCCTGTATGTATACCCTCCTTACCTCACATTCCCTCCACCTGTGACAGTGACTAATTTCCCTGTATATATACCCACATTTCCTCCACCTGTGACAGTGACTACTTTCCCTGTATGTATACACTCCTTACCTCACATTCCCTCCACCTGTGACAGTGACTAATTTCCCTGTATATATACCCACATTCCCTCCACCTGTGACAGTGACTACTTTCCCTGTATGTATACCCACCTTACCTCACATTCCCTCCACCTGTGACAGTGACTACTTTCCCTGTATGTATACCCTCCTTACCTCAGATTCCCTCCACCTGTGACAGTGACTAATTTCCCTGTATGTATACCCTCCTTACCTCAGATCCCATCCACCTGTTACAATGACTAATTTCCCTGTATGTATACCCACCTTACCTCACATTCCCTCCACCTGTGACAGTGACTAATTTCCCTGTATATATACCCACCTTACCTCACATTCCCTCCACCTGTTACAATGACTAATTTCCCTGTATGTATACCCTCCTTACCTCACATTCCCTCCACCTGTGACAGTGACTAATTTCCCTGTATATATACCCACATTTCCTCCACCTGTGACAGTGACTACTTTCCCTGTATATATACCCACCTTACCTCACATTCCCTCCACCTGTTACAATGACTAATTTCCCTGTATGTATACCCACCTTACCTCACATTCCCTCCACCTGTTACAATGACTAATTTCCCTGTATATATACCCACCTTACCTCACATTCCCTCCACCTGTGACAGTGACTAATTTCCCTGTATGTATACCCACCTTACCTCACATTCCCTCCACCTGTGACAGTGACTAATTTCCCTGTATATATACCCACATTTCCTCCACCTGTGACAGTGACTACTTTCCCTGTATATATACCCACCTTACCTCACATTCCCTCCACCTGTGACAGTGACTAATTTCCCTGTATGTATACCCTCCTTACCTCACATTCCCTCCACCTGTTACAATGACTAATTTCCCTGTATGTATACCCTTCTTACCTCACATTCCCTCCACCTGTGACAGTGACTAATTTCCCTGTATGTATACCCTCCTTACCTAAGATTCCCTCCACCTGTGACAGTGACTACTTTCCCTGTATATATACCCACCTTACCTCACATTCCCTCCACCTGTTACAATGACTAATTTCCCTGTATGTATACCCTCCTTACCTAAGATTCCCTCCACCTGTGACAGTGACTAATTTCCCTGTATGTATACCCTTCTTACCTCACATTCCCTCCACCTGTGACAGTGACTAATTTCCCTGTATGTATACCCTCCTTACCTCACATTCCCTCCACCTGTGACAGTGACTAATTTCCCTGTATGTATACCCTCCTTACCTCAGATTCCCTCCACCTGTGACAGTGACTAATTTCCCTGTATGTATACCCTTCTTACCTCACATTCCCTCCACCTGTGACAGTGACTACTTTCCCTGTATGTATACCCTCCTTACCTCACATTCCCTCCACCTGTGACAGTGACTAATTTCCCTGTATGTATACCCACCTTACCTCACATTCCCTCCACCTGTGACAATGACTAATTTCCCTGTATATATACCCACATTCCCTCCACCTGTGAAAATGACTACTTTCCCTGTATGTATATCCTCCTTCGCTCAAATGCCCTCCACCTACTTTATTGTCAATCGTGGAATTTACATCAATCTTTTCAAAAGTGCTGACTTGATTTGGCCAATGTTGGTTAAGGTACTGACATCTTGTCTGGCCCTTCTGTGTAGTTCATAGTACAGTTGATTTGACGACAAATCTGATTTGCAGGAAGCCAACGGTGGCCTTGTTCAATATACAGTGATTCTTTGGTTAAGAGTTCCTCATTTTGAAACCTGTACCTGGTGGATAGTACCAGAAGTTATCCTGCTAGTGTGTGTATATATGTATATGACATTTATGTGGTGGTTTGCAGATCTTGGAAATGTCAATCAGGAATACAGCATTTATTCAGTAGAATGTTTTTAAAGTGTTGAAATATACGTAATTACCTAGTTATTTGGAATATCAAATGTAGATAATATCTAGGAACGAGAAATAAGTGTGTAATGCATCCCAATGGGGAGTTCTCAGTTCTACAACAGAGTGATTGAAAATTAAAAATTTATGTACATTTCAAAGCGTGAACTTTCCAACAATTCATATTGGTCACCCTGGAATAGAAAATACTCTGATTTCTGAGATAGTAATTAATTTACTTGACTAAAAGCTGTCCTTTATATCTGAGGGCTTAGAACAATAATGTAACACTGGTGTACTTGATTCACAGTTTTATTGGTGGAATGTTGTTAAAGAGACGTTTTTATTCCTGCTCAAAGATGTGAAATGTGACACTATTGAAGTCGAGAATTTCTAGGTTTTAAATTGATTTTAAGATTGATCAATGGATGCTAGAGACTTCTTGTTGCAAGTAAATGTGAATAATTTCACTTTGATTTTTACATTTTCTAAGATAGAATATATATGAAGGGGAGATAAATCTGGAAGAAAAGATCCTTTTCATTTTCATATTCATGTTCAAATGACCTTGATTCTTTGGTCTGTCTGTTTTCCATGCATAAGCAGTTCTTTTTAGCACTATTTCTGTGGAAGTAGTTGTGCAACATTACATGACATCATTTGATTTGCCGATAGGAAGAACAATGATACAATCAGGTGGCCATTTCCATGATGCAAACATTAGAATTTTAACTCAAAGTCAAAGGCTAATGGCTGAACAACAGTGTAACAATTTTTTGTAATTCTATTAAAAGGCAAAAGGCAATGGTGAGTAAATCACCAATTCTAAATTATTGAAGTATTTCTCAGAAAATTGTACAAAGGTTCCTGTGCAGCCCTAGTTGTGCAACATATTTTGTTTTCATGCATTGCACTGCAAGCATGAGGTATCCTAATTAAAAAGCATTATTGTAACCTATGATTCCAATTTTTCGGTCACCTGAGGTGAAGTCTCAAGTGACCTATTGCGATCGCCTTTTGTCCAGCATCATGCATCAGAAGCAATTTACATTTTGTATTAAAATCTTTAAGTGGCTTCTTCTCAACAACCAACAGGCAGCCATCTTTGATTTTGCCTTGTGAAGATTGTTATCCCTATTTCTCAGGATGAACTTAATGGATCTCTCTCAAATTTCATACATAGGTTTCCTTTGGTCTCTACTTGTGCCTGAGAGATTTTTGGACTGATCAGAAAAACAAAATGATTTCCAGGCAACCATTTTGGATGTGGCAGATAAAGATTATCATCGCTATTTCTGCAAAGGAATGTTCAAATTTCTTATCATTGAGAGCAAAAACCATGGTGGGTGCTATGATCCCTCTGGGATCTCTTGTTGTGGTGTGACATCTCGCTGACTTCTACTTTAGCAGATATTTATTTGGTGTGACATCCCTCTGACAGCCATTTCTTTGGCAATCATTTCCCTGCTGTCATATATGATAATGTCGGTTTGTTTTATTAAATAAACTGTTGGTTCTACTGAAAGACATTACAGCACTGATGATGAATTGTTAGACAATATGTCTAAAATCAGATGAAATTAATACACATTAAAAAAAAAATTCAGTGAAGGTCAACAGATACAGAATAATCTTTGTTAAACTCACCAGATATGTGAAGTTTGATGAAATACATCTGTACTTGTACTGTACTCTTAAAATGTATCAAGTTGATTGTCAAGCAGGATAACTTAATAGTGTATAGTCAAGCATGACAGATGAAATCTCAAAGCCAGTGCCGAGAAAAAAGGTGGTGGCGAGGGTCTCTTTGAAGTGTTGGATATTGGTTATCTTGAATATTGGTAATTAAAAACATTGATAGTCAATTACGTTAAGATACTGTTTATTTCAATATTGATTGAATTAACAATTAATTTCTTTTCATCATAGTTGGTCACTTCCTGTTGTCCCTCATAAAACTGCTATACCTCTATCAAACAGAATATTCTTCTCTTTAATCTAAGTCCGAGACAATCACTACAATTGTACCTGGAGATGACTATATGGTATCAAATACAGGTGATAAAAATGTTATTGTTATGGATAACATCATATTTAAATTATAAATATAATTGTTACACTGAGAAACAGATCATTAAAGATTTAAATATTCACCTTGTGAAAAATGACCTTATCATATGTAATTGACCAATCAAATAGGAACGGTTAATTTGAATCCTTCTAATACAATTGTGTCCAGATACAATCTTCAACATGTCTCCTCACTATGTGGTTTCCATAGTGATCTGTTGTGATATTCCTGATAAAATCACTAATCAAGTTGTTTCATTTAAGAGGGATTTTTTTGTAGAGATTTTCCCCTATTATGGCGTAGCATTAAATAGTGAATGGGGAGGCTGTTAGATGATGTCAGCTTTTTTTTTATCACAGTTATCAGATACGTAACTTTACAATAGATCCAGCTTTCTTAATCTTAATACAGATTTTTCCTTAATTTCTTGATTTTATGACCGTTTCTGCACCGGTGCCAATTAGTATTAGTCTCTAAATTAGCTGCCTAGCCAGTAAATAAAGCTATTGGCAAACCTAATACATGGAAACTATCTCTAAAGGGACAATTGAATTAGTATTTTATCATCAA